TGACTAAAAGACGTTTAAATTAAAATCTTTATTTCATGTTTGGTCTATACGAAAATTTTGTGATATTTCAACACTTCTCAATTCCTGCTATAACTAAATTAGTTATTTGAGAGACTTTCTGGGGGTGAAATATCTTTAGTTATTTCCAGTATCTCAAATCTTTCGTGGAAAATGTAAACATATTATGTCATGTTCTTTACACCTTACTGTCTTCAAAATAATTTTAGAAAAGTGACCTAGAGCACACCTGTCCAGTTAGCTCCACTCCTGCGTTTTCCACCTAGTGTTACCAATCCTCTCTTTCGCTGAAGTCCGAACCCCAAACACTGAACTCTGAATTCCAAGCATTCGCCCAGTGAGAGTGAGGGAGGAGGAAGGGTGTGTCGGGGTAGGTGTCCTTCTGTGTGTGTGGGGGTACAGTATATCAGTTGGAAGAGATTACAATGCAGAAAAATGCTTTGAAAATACCGACGAGGTTTACTCAGCTGAGTGTAATCGCCTAGCACTAACCAGAAGAAAATAATAAATCTACGATATGATGAGAGGGGAATGAATTCATGTTCTAAGTAAGGTGTTCCTTTGCAAAAGGGGACATGTAAGAGCAAATAGATTATAAATATGTTTAAATCTATATTTTGTAGAAGCAGCGAAGTCTTGTTCAACCCCTTGACTACGAAATGGAACTTCTCAAAATGAAATCGTCTGGCGGTAACCAAATAATAATAGATTAGAAGACATCGATGGTGAAGGGATTAATTAGCAGTAAAAACAATCAGAAAGTGTGCACCGCATATTTATTGTAATATAGACTTGATACGAGAAAATATAGTTCCGTTGGCGGCTGTCCAGTATAGAATGAACAAACCACATACAGTAGTTCAGTTGTGTCAAACAGTGAGGTTAAAGGGCCAACAAAAATAAAAATACTATTATTATTATTATTATTATTATTATTATTATTATTATTATTATTATTATCATTATTATCATTATGAAATGTGCAATTTATGATGCAAAGAGATATTACTGTTGCTTAACGGTGTTAAATAATAAAGTTTTTATGTCGTGCACTGGACGTGATAGCATCCCTAAACAGAGATGCTGGTGGAATCCTCGACTCCACACTCATCCACCCCCCCCCTTGCTTCCATTATCCAACTCCTACTCTGGTAGTCGAATTATTGCAGACAATTTATAGAGTAGAATAATGTTATGGTTTCTCATTTCCACGAGACAATTATGATGGTAATACAAATACAAGTGATACTCAGTATACCAAGCAGCCAGGCTGTGGGAGTTATTAGTCTCAGCTACTCGTTCACATCATTAGGTCTTAGAATAAATGTCATTTTCCACACATTCTGAGTGTTTTAATTGTTGCATCTTATACAACGTCTCGACTATCTCTGTAATTTGACTGAATGTAGGACATTTGGGCCACAGCCCATGGACATTTGGGCCATGGGTTACGACCCCCAACCGTCGACTATCTCTGTAATTTGACTGAATGTAGGACATTTGGGCCACAGCCCATGGACGTTTGGGCCATGGGTTACGACCCCCAACCGTTTGGGTCATGGTCCACGACTCGGACGTTTGGGCCATGGGCTACGACCCCCAGACGTTTACGTTATGGGCCACGACCCCTGGAAATTGGGTCATGGGTCAAAGTAATATAAACAACCTAACCTAACCTAACAGAACCTAACCTGAAGGCTCCTGACTGGAAGGTTTTCAGGGGGGTTAAGGGGATTTTAATTTACATCTAGGAGTTTTTTGGTCCATGGCCCAAACGTCCACCCAACATACAGCTCGTGGCCCAAACGTCCGAAGACCATTCCGGCGTGAGTCTGCCTAAGCGCTATAGTAACCAGATAATGGATTATACTGGTCAACAGCCAAAATGGTTCACATATGAGATCATGCTCACACAACTAATTTCATATTGCTGAATTCGAATCTGATATTTGTTTTGTTCTATCAGACCAGGTTTTATAAAAAAATCAATAGGTACAAATATTTAATATTCCATCACGTGTCGTGCAAAAGATGAGATTATCTCATGTGACTGTGCTTTCATGACTAATTTCATATTAATGAATATTAATTGGATGTTTCATTCTACCATCAGACCTACTTTCTTAAAGAATAAAAAAAATAGTAAATATAGTAACATTATCGCGTCATGCAAGATACAATTTTAAACCTATCACAGATAAGCTCATAAAAAATTGTACCAAAAAACATAAGTTCAAATCCTTTATAATGACAAAATATGAATTTCTAAAAGTGCTTCTGAACTTTACTCTTTCTCTTGTACAGCTTGCTCTCTTCTCGTTGCAGTGTCCAGCAATAGTCGCCCATCATGTTAGGACTGAATTGTCCCTGATATCTGCTCCCCATTATGGCGATATCTTGATGAAATCTTTCGCCGTGTTCATCACTAACGTCTCCAAGGTTACCTGGGAAAAATTCAATATGAGAGTGGAAAAAATGCAATTTCAAGGACATCCTTGCTCCCAATGCATGATAATTCTGAAGCATGGTTGTTACGATTTCTTTGTAGTTGTCAGCACTCCATCTTCTAGCAGGTTACGCTGCTTTAGTCTGGATCCCAAAACTTCAGCCTTTTCTTTTGACAAGTTTAGGTCCCTGATGAGATCATGAAGCGCTTCTTGAGTAAATAGTTTAGGCCTGGTATTTTCAGAGTCATCCTGGTAGTCGTTTTCCATTGAGGTAGAGGTAGAATCGGAATCACTCAATTCTTGTTCAGTCGGTGGATTTGGGACTGGAAGTTCAGCACTGTGCGGTACTGGTCGGATTGCAGAAGCAATATTGGGGTACTGTACCTTGCCTCGTGTCTTGATTTTTATTCCCTTAATATTTGTGAGACAGAAGTAGCAGTCACTACTGTGGTCTTTAGGTTCACGCCATATCATTGGTACAGCAAACGGCATTCCTGAACTTCGTTTACCACACATCCACTCGCTCAGGTGGTTAACACAAGACTTACAGGCTACATGAGGTGCCCATTTCTTGTCTTGGTCACCCAAATGACATTTGAAGTAACTTTTGTAGTTCAGTCGAACAGCTTTTGTGATTGGTTTCTTGAGGCTACCAGGAGTGAAGGCACCACATATGTAGTAAAAACTGTCAGCACCGTTCACACACTTGCGACGTTCCATGTTTTGTTAATTTCAGAGTAATTACAAATCATGCAGGTGTAGATATGCAATATCATGAATCAGCAAACTGAAACAAACAAAAAAGCACAAATCAGGACAAAATAATTGCATAAGTGGAGCCAATGAGCATATAAATTACTGTACGAATAGCATGGTACACTAAGAACATAAGAACATAAGAAAGTGGGATACTGCAGGAGGCCGACTGGCCCATACAGGGCAGATCCCTTTCACACCCATCCCAGCACTTCCATGTGCCTATCCAACTTCGTCTTGAAGCTCCCTAGCGTCCCCGATCCTACTATAGCACTCGGTAGTCTATTCCACATATCCACAACTCTATTACCAAACCAGTGCTTGCCTATATCCTTTCTGAATCGGAATTTATCTAATTTAAAGCCATTTGTTCTAGTTATTTCGTTATTACTGAGCTTCAGAACATCTTCCATTTTACCCTTGTTAATCCCACTTACCCACTTGTACACCTCTATCATATCTCCCCTAACTCTACGCCTCTCTAAATATATAGATATGCTGGTTCTGGAAAACTGAGCCTGATACAGCTATACGAATGTCATAATTGAGTTCAGCACATACAAGTACACTAGAATCAGACTGTTTTGATCCAGAACCATGAGAATTTTTTTTTATGTTGACCAGTGAAATGTGATTTTACTTCATACGTTCATGACCGTTGTTTGAAATACTGAGCATCACTTGTATTTGTATTCTCATCATAATTGCCTCGTCGAAGTGAAAGAACACAGCATTAGTCTATTCTGTAATTTATTGTCTGCAGTGATTCGACTTCCAATAACCCAGAGTAGGAGTTGGGTGGTGGAGGCAGGGAGGGTGGTGGAGGAGGGAGTCAAAGGTTCTGTCCCGTGTACAACATAGAAGCAACTTTATTATTCAAGACCTTTAAACAACTACTATATCGCTTTGCACCATAAATTGTTCATTTGATAATAATAATAATAATAAATTTTGCCCTTTAACTTCACAGTTTGGCACAACTGAACTATGTGGTTTGCTGACTATATCAGGCAGCTGCCAACTGAACTATTTTTGTTCATATCAAGTTTATATTACAATAAATACATGGTGCACACTTCCTGATTATTTAAATTTCTAATTACTCCTTTCACTACGATGTCTTCTTATCTATTATTTTATTCTGGCGACCACTAGACGATTTTATTCGGCTAGGCAATTTCCATTTCGTAGCCAAGGGGTTAAACAAAACTTTGCTGCTTCTACAAAAATCTTATTCACACCAATCCATAGTCCATATCCTCATATTATCCCAACTTGCAAACCTTACTGAAAACATGAATTCATCCCCCTCTCATCCTAATGTGATTTCGGTATTTTCATCTGCCTAGCGCTAGACGATTACACTCAGCTGAGGAAACCCCGTCAGTAAAGCCAAAGCGTTATTTTGTATTGTAATCTCTTCCCACCTGTTATATATTTTCCGGCCTCACCTTTGTACTAGTAACTTGCCTCATCCCCGCAGAAAAACACCACCCCAACACCCCCCTTCACTCATCCTCCCGCTTACTAGCGAATGCTTCGAATTCGCACTTCTGAGTTCGGGGTTTAAACCTCAGGGAGAGAGTGGTAAATGTGGGAGTAGAGACAACTGTACCTTAAATAATTCAAGACGGTCAACATCACTGAGTTATATCCTCGTTTGTGGAAGGAATTTTGTGTTTCCTTCTCTCCTTCCTCTGTGATATGATATAAGTATGTTGATTTTTCAACACTGTAAGACGAGAAAATGCTGGTTACTAATACTCCTTATAATTACAGAAAAGGTACTGGAGAATTTGTGAAAATGTGTATAAATATCTGTTAGAGGCAATAAAAAACAAGGACTCCACAAACTTCACTCGGGGAAAATACTTAGGAATGGTGAACCACCACCTGCAGGATGTTACAGGCCGGACAGTCCTCCATTGGGCGGCGGAGCTTGGCTGGATTATTGAGGTGGAAGACCTCTTGGATATATTTCAACTATATCCACATGCGGTGACTTGGGATGGTGAGACTCCAGCTGATCTGGCACGACGAAGAGGTCATCACAATGTAATGCGTGTGATCAAACACTATCGGCCCCCACAGGTTAGTGAGATAACACAAGTCACATTAGATATAAAAAAATGTTTTAGTTCAGTAGTTAAATAAAAAATGACTTACTTACAGTCATCATTATCATTATTATCATTATCATCATCATCATCATCATCAACTTTTATGAGTTAGCCAGTTCTTCATGGTTCTTGAGGCCACGCAGCGTCTGTCTTCAGGATATTATCTCTGAGGTCATTTCTTGCAAACTCTCCCAGTGTTTTTTTTTGGTGTACCTCTAACTCTCCTTCCCTCTATATTCAAATCGAAGGATCTTTCGAAGCAGTTGGTTTCCTTTACTCTCTCTATATGCTTGCACCATCTCAGTCTGCCTCAACAATAGTCTCAATACCCAGCATTTGTTTCTTTCACATTTTTTTTCAGTGCCCTTTGGAGAGTTCTGTTGGAGACTATTGTGTACCTAGAGGACATTTTTCTGTAGCATATCAACATAATAGTCAAAGAAAAGACAAAGGTGATTGTAGGTACTATGAAACCAGATAGGATTATTCCGGAAGATAAATAGAAAGGCTGGTAGTCTAAAAAAAGCTCTGTTTCATTAAACGTAGGAAAGAAGCTTAAGTTTCTTAAAGGTAATATGAAGGGTACTGAAGTTGATGATAATAAACAAAGTGGGATAGGAACTTGTTCAGAAGTAACATTTGACACAACTGCAAGATGATGGTGAGTAGGCAAGGTCGTGATTGCATTACTGTTAAGTTCACAATAATCTGGTGCTATATGGAAAATAAGTAAAATTGGTCTGCTTTGGGAAATTAAAATAGTGTACGTTATTGACATGTGCATCAAACACTAACCCGGGAGGTATTGGAGTGTATTCACATTGTTGTGGAGCTGTAGAAGCATTAGTTTGTATTATGGCTAATTCACAGATAGCTTCTGCAGCCCGGGTAAAAGAAAATGCATAAACGGGACAGACGTGCAAGTGTATGTACAGTAAATTGACTTGCAATGATCCAATATACCATGCTTAGTTACCATAACTAATGAAAAGTCTTCTGACACCAAAATTAATTCTGTCTATCTGTTAAGAACTAGAAACTCGTCATTCACCTTTATTGGAAAGGGTTCCAAGTGCCATGCCTTAAATTTCTTCTTTAATTTTAAAGGAATGTGGATTACTCACTGATAATTATGCACTTAAAAATGGCTAAATATGCATGCAAATATGCCGTAAAAACTGGTAAAATATGCACTTAAATATGCACTTATTCCTAAGGAAATTAATATTAGCAGTAATAAGTTAACAATTTTAACTTATTAGATTTAATAATAAAACTTATTTTGCAGTAATTTACCCCAAAGAGTTTACTTCCCCACAAAAGCTGTGGCTGAGTGAGACCTTTTCATAAAGGATTAAATTAAAGAACACAATGTACTGACAAAATAATTTACTTGATAATACAGAAAAACACCAATACATTTCCTTATATTAACTGAATGTAGGAATTTGCTACTTTTAAGATATGTAGCCTAACCTTGTTCAAAATCAATTATTAAATAACCCCCAAGCTGTTTATGAAAGTGAATTGCATTTGATTACAACATGGTGGAGTAGATTTTCAAACACAAACTTTCGCCTGTTGTCAGCAAGAATGCATTTGTACTGTGAAAACACTCGTTCAACATCGCACGAAACGATAGGAGCATACTGTAACTTAACTATGTCTGACAGCTCAAGTTCTCCTTGAGTGGTAGCATCAAGAGAAGAATTGCTTTGCAATATCTCACTGATTTTCTTCAGTCGGCTGTAACCTTTGTTTTTAGCAAGAACCTGGCTGATTTTTTCAAAGTAATCCTTCTTCTCAAGGTGACTCAAAGAATCAACAACCTCTTGTACTACATCCATGCTGCTCTTAAGAGTTAGTCCTTTTTCTCCAACTTGAGGATTGCAAAGGAAATACATGCTAAGTTGGCTCTCATGAAAATTAGATCCTCCTGCAAGCCATCCTTCTTGAGTACATTTTGTGCCTCCTTCATATGTACAGATGCTGTGGGATCAAATGATTCAACTACACACTTGACAGTTTCAAAATTGTCAGCGTAGTACAATGCTGCCTCGATCCAGGTGCCCCATCTAGTCACTACTGGTGAAGAAGGAAGTGGCACAGTACCAGCAATTTGTCGAAATCTCTCTTTGCGACTCCGTGCTTTCAGAAATACCTTCTTCACAGTAGAAATCAACACATTCACATCAGGCATAACTGCACGAGCTAATTCAGCAACCCTGTGCAGGCCATGGGCTAAACAAGTCACATGAATCATTTTTGGAAACAGAATTTCTAGTCCTGCCATACATTTAACCATATATGGGGCTGCATCAGTGCATACAAGAAGTACACGATCATACTTGATGCCATCCACCCATAATCATCCCAAGGAATCAGTGAAAAATGCTGCCATGGTTGAGTGATTTACCTTATCTAAGACCTTCAAATTAAGCAAGTATGATTTGTCTCTTTCTTCTTCTGGCCCCAAAATGCCAAACACAAAATTTGCAACGCATCTTGCATCTACATCTGTTGTCTCATCCAATGATACCCAGATGGAATTATCACCTACCTTCTCTCTCAGTCTATCTAAAGTTTCATTGTAAAGATCAGGAACATCATTTTTTTCTCAGTGTTGATTCACTTGGCACTTTTTGATCCGTGTACTTCTCTAAGAATGAGACCAGTTCCTTGTTGTTCAGCTTATTCAATGGTATATCAGCCGAGACCAAGGCTCTACAAAGATCTTGATTAAACTGAAAATGTTCCGGCCCAGGCCGCGACACTGTTGCGGGGAGCAGTGTCTGTTGTTTGGCACTCGTTTTGGCTTCTTTTTTCATGGCATGCTTTGCAGTTTGAATATGTTGCTGCACTTGAAATTTCTTGGATGAAGAAACCACGACCTCACAGTATTTACAAAATAATACTTGGCCATCGGTGGTGAAGTCAATGTATACATTTACCAATGCATTAAGAGTACTGGAGAGCGATTTCTAAATCTTAGGCTTCTTGCAGTGCTCAACCTGAAACAAAACAAATGCACGTTCTGTATTTCCAAAGCCAATCTTACTAAGGTCTATCTTTTATTCCTGCAGCTTAAGGATGTAGGCCTCCTTTTAGGCTAAAACCAAGTGATTTAATTCATCTGAGGGACGATTCGCATGGTGTCTTTATAAGAGTTTGCTTAAAATAAGAGACAAGTTTCTGATTTAAATGCCCCAACATTATTAAAATACAAGCAAATCAAAGTGATAATTTCAGTGGGAAGATGAGGGATACAGAATTTACACAGCTACTGTACCTGCTCACCAGGAAGCACAGACGGAACTGATGGAGCCTGACAGTGACAACCCTCTGTACCCTGGTGCGTCACATGTCCGATACACGAATCAATCACGTACAGTTGTCCCGCGTTCACTGACCAGCAAGTTACGGCCTAGCCATCCACAGCCTATTGAGCCATATAGACGTCACTTTCTATGGCCCTTATGACTATTATGAGACTTATGAGTAAATTATGACTTAAAGTACTATAATATATATATATATATAATATTTATCAATTTATCATAAATAACAAAGAACTTTTCAAGAATATGCCGTATGAAAAGAAAAGTTACAAATATGCACTTAAGCTCAAAAATAGTTAAAATATGCATTTGCATATGCTCATATGCAAATGCATAATTATCCTAAGACTATGGATTAGTATTTCCCATGTGTTAAGGATGCTTCTATCAAGGGGTAATATAGAATTTTACCTTATGCTCCTGAAAGGTGGGAGTTAAATGATAGTCAGTCTTAGTTATGTTTAAAGCAGCAAGGAGTTGTATAACGATTTGCTTTCTTAAGTAACAGATGTACCAGTATACCACAGTAATGGGGAGAACATAATATCTCTACCCATACCAACTGTGTATCAGTTGAGGTGACTATTACCGTGAATATAACAGTTATTTGTGAAACTGTCATATATGTAACAACCTTCCTAGGCTGTCACCACTTGTAACAATCACTTGTGAAGCACGATACCTTATATTTTAGTCATACTAAAATGTAGATCAAAGTTTATTGGATCTTCTGTAGTGAGAACCAATATGTTCCTTTGTTTGTATTTATTATAAAAGGTTTCTATGTACACATTCAAAAAGGATTATCACCGTAATTTAACCACAGTAGCTATGAGTGTTAAATGAGGACGGAGGCTATCTTATATAGCTCTGCTAAGTACGTCCTGTTGATGAGATAGTTGAGTGAGAATGAGTAGGAACCCGTCGAGGGAGAACGGAAATATATCAGACGTCCTCCCTCGAGGAAAGACAGAATCATCCACGATGGATCTCAAAAACGTCTTCGTCAAGGATATCAAACTACTGCCCGCAATAGGTGGCCAGAGAGCCGGCTACTTAATGCTTAACTCAGCACCAAGTGACGTGACTTCCCGTGGGCACACCTTATCACGTGCTCTGAACATGCTACCTCATAGGTAGTGGAAAGTTACAGAGGGTGATAGAGTATATAAGTCTAATGTAATTAACCCATTTATATAAATACTACTGCCTATAAGACAGGGGCGGATACATCGCTCGGTCACACCTTCCAAACTCCGCGAGGAATAGTCTAATCTCGCAGAAAATCCCTATACATATACCTAACCATGTTACATGCATATGTGTGTAAACACTAAACTGGGGAAGCTGACACCTGCGGTTGAACAGCTACTCAAGCCCTAGTCTGATATGCCTTATGGAGAGTGTATGCTGTCCAATGGCAAAATTGGAAGATTCTGACTTATAAAACAAAAATATCACTGCTAATACCAACACAATAGTGGAAATCGTTAACTTGGATAAGCAAATCCCGTAATAACATGGCAAAAATAAATCTCGCCTATTTCGAGTTTTACGAACACACCTTCTTAGCAATGTACAACTTTTGCTACTATAATCACGCTGGCTGAATGAGTGTGTGGTGCTTGGGTCTTTTCAACGAAACATTCATTTTTGCGGAGAGCAATAGTACAGTTGTGAAGGGTTCTACCACGGTATGGCTGAAAATTTACAGTGTGATAAACTAGAACTGTCATATTTGTAGTTTGAAAATATGTGTCTTTGATATCATTAAAATTAAAATAGAACTGCCATGCAGTTTGAAAAGAAGTGTCTATTACATCATTAACATTAATAACATTATTAACCTGACATGTTTGCGGTTTGAACATTATTATGGAACTATCATATTTGTAGTTTGAAAAGATGTGTATGACATCATTAAAATAAAAATAAAACTATCATATTTGTAGTTTGAAAAGATGTATCTATGACATTAACATTAACATAAAACTATCATATTTTTAGTTTGAAAATTATTAACATTATTAACCTGACATATATGCGGTGTACACATTATTAACATTATTATCCTTCAGGGAAATAACCAAAAATGTCAGCATACGTCTAAGGTTTGAAAAATTATTAAGATACAACCCCCCCCCCCCAAAGAAAAATAACCTCGTCCATCCATTTACAGGAAATTTATATAAATTATAATTAAAATAATTAAAGTATCAATAGATGAACAGGTGAAAAATACTGGAAATTATATTACATCACTATATATTAAAATAAGTAAGACCCCTATAAAATAAAATAACCTACACGACGGCTAACGTGTGATGGTATGGTGTAGAAATATATATTTATGTTTATAAATATAGTGCATGTCTGTAAAATACCAATTCCTTGTAGGCTTGGCACGAAGAATCCTTCCTGGAATTTCTTGAAAATGTGAAAATGTTGCCGCAATCCCATAGACTTGCGTGTGTCACTCACAGGAGACAGCTGATGCGAAGGTCCTGGTGACTGGGTCAATGTCCACGAAAATCCTTAGTACAGCAAACTGCTGCTCCCTGTCAGTGAACTCAAGGACTCTTGGGTTCACTGGGTACACTGTGCATCCACCACGCCATACTCATAATGATGACACAAGGCTCGACAACCTTCGTGGTCAGAGAAAGGTGTCATCACTAGGAGGGTGCTGGGGTGCTGGTAACTGGGGGTTACTCAAGCCATACGAAAGAATTTTGTTGACAGTATGTTGGTTGATGAGTAGTCACAACAACTAGAGTCACGTCATGTGACAGTGAACGATTCATTTGCAGAACTACTGTTCACTTCAGCTCACAGGAGTATTGCCATAATGACAACAATTAATTATATCAATAACTCAGTATTGGTTATCGATATAATTTTTTGGAACATCTTCTTAGATGACAAAATGAAAATCACTCAACAGAAAACTTCTCACGACGATATATATCCACGTGCACTTAGATATTTTTTCAGGAAAAAAAAAATTAAGTTTCTAAAAAAAATATTGACACTGATATCAGATATGGATCCGGTCTTTCTCGCTGCCACTTATGAAACTGTTTAAATTTTTCTGTTACATCACCGTATGTGTAACGGAACAGATTATCTCAACTGTTAATCAACTCCAGTGTGACGAATAACTTCTGTTATGAGAATTGTCACGGTTACTTGGAGTACACTTGACTAACTGGAAACTGTAGACTGGTCCTATAGACTGGTCACCATAGATTGGTCCTAGACTGAGCCCCCTGTAACGATATCTTCTTTGTAACAGTATATAATATTACTGTTTTTTTTTGTGCGTTTTTTGTAACACTGACACTGGTTATTGTTATGGGTACCTAGATCCGCTGCCTGTAACTTCTTCGTTTATTTTACAAATATTTCTTATATGCACTTTCAAAAGAGGTTTACCGTAAATTATCTCAATGTAGCTATTGAGAGTTTAAATGAGGTGAAGTGTCAAGTGAAGACTTTAGTAGAGACTTCTCGAGGGAAGAACGGAAATATATCCGACGTCCTCCCTCGAGGGAAGACGGAACCATCCACGATGGCTCTCAATAACGTCTTCCTCTAGTAAGGGTTATCAAACTACTACCCGCAATAGGTGGCCAGAGAGCCGGCTACTTAATGCTTAACTCAGCACCAAGTGACGTGACTTCCTGTGGGCACACCTTATCACGTGCTCTGAACATGCTACCTCATAGCTAGTGGAAAGTTACAGAGGATGATAGAGTATATAAGTCTAATGTAATTAACGCATTTATATAAATGCTTCTGCCTATAAGACAGGGGCTAATACAGTTGGTCTGTGCATCTGCACGACCTAAACCTGCATTCATTAAATCAGCTACTGTAAGAGCTTGAACTGAGGATTTGGATACAAGCAAATATTCTGTAATGCAAACTAGCCATTCATGTGTAGGCACTGACTGAGTTTAGCCACGGGCAAGACGTATTAGTATTCTATATAGGAAATTGCTTCACCGCTTTAACCTTAAAATACTTTTTTTTTTTTTTTGACGGGGAAAAATCCACCCGGGCGCATGTCATCGAACCACAACGGGGCCTAGGGGTCGAAAAAATAAGAGTAAAAAGAAATTAAAGATAGAAAAGAAAAATATATTAATCTACACCACGAAGCTGCAGGAAAATCAGCTTTTTTGTGTGAAACAGATTGTTTGAGTCTGGAAACACAGAAGAAAGCAGAGCATTCCACAGTTTGGCTGTGTGAGGAAAGAAGGTTGTATTATAACGGGATATTCTAGTGTGGCCGACATCCACAGAGAAACTGTGGGCACCGTTGGCAAGACGAGTGTTACGAGCCCATGGCCTTGCCCGACGTAAGCAGTGGATTTTGGCGACAGCTTAAAAACTTCATTCCAGGAAAATATGCCTATATTTGCTCCAAACATTCTGCAGAGGAAGCTATTGATAGGACATCTCGTTCCTGTGTTATAATTCGAGAGGATACCGTGCCAACATTCTTTTATGCTTTTCCCAAACATTTCCAGAAAAATATAGTGAAAAGGAAGCCTCCAGCACCACGGAAAAACATCACTAGTGAAGTTATAGAACAACGTGTTCTGAATAATGACACAGGCAATGAAACAGTTGAAAGTGAAAACCAGTGTGTGTATATATATGTAGTATATATATATATATATATATATATATATATATATATATATATATATATATATATATATATATATATATATATATATATATATACACATATATATATATATATATATATATATATATATATATATATATATATATATATATATATATATATATATATATATGTATATATATATATATGCCTTAAAAATCTGCTTGTACAGAAACTGTTCAGAGAAAGCGTACTCAAATTGAATTGCAACTTGCTTCATCTAGGAAAAAAATAAAGTATTACAACAAGCTAAATGTCGTTTGAAGAATAGGAATGCTGAGATCCATTTAGTCATTTCTGAGGTTAAAAGTAAATCATTAATTAGTGATCAAAGCTTTAAAGTGTTACAAAAGTGTGCTGAAGGTGTTTCTGATCTACTGAAAAGAAATTTTGCCAAAGGAAGTAAAGCCCCCACTACAGCATAAATACCCTCCAGCCCTGAAGCGTTTTGCTTTGTCTCAAAACTTTTTTCCCCTCGTGCCTATCGCTTTGCAAGAAAAGCTTTTGACACATGTTTACCTCATCCAAGAACTATAGAAATGTGGCTTGAATGTGGAGATTAAGCCAGGATTCACGGAACATGCATTAAGTGCTTTGAAAGCGAGAATAACTGCTGCCAGCGAGCAAGGAAAGTCTATAAAGTTGCTGTCATTTTGGATGAAATGGCAATTTGGCAACAAGTGGAATGGGACGGTAACATGTATCATGGTTTTATAGATGCTGGGACAGATCTCGATGATGACAGCAAAGAATGTTGCAAAGGAAGCGTTGACCTTCATGGTTGTAGCTATAAATGCACATTGGAAAATGCCAGTAGGTTATTTTCTTATGGAACGTAACAACCTTGTTGACCAGTGTTTATGCGATAGGCTGGGATGTTATATCGCTTACTTTTGATGGAGCTACCTGCAATATGTCCATGGCAAAGTATTTAGGTTGAGAATTAAGTCCAAATCAAATGAAGGCTTTCTTCAGTCATCCCATAAGAAAGAAACCTGTTGGTGTTTTTCTTGATCCATGCCATATGCTGAAGCTGGTCAGAAATTATTTTGAAGACACGAAATTATTTTTAGATGGTTTGGGAAATTCTATCGAATGGCGCTTTATTGAAAGTTTGCATCAACTGCAAGAACGTGAAGGTGTTCGTTTACGTAACAAAGTACGAGGTTCACATATAGCCTGGTTCAAGATAAAATATATGTAAAACTAGTAGCTCAGCTGTTAAGTGATTCTGATGCAGTTTCACTTCTGCTTTGCCTTGATGAAAAAATTCAGGGGTTTGAGGGTTGTGAAACAACTATCAAATTCATAAGAAATTTCAACAGACTCTTTGCCATCCTCAATTCTCGTAATTTATGCAGCACTGATTGGAAACGCCCATTTATGTCGGGTAATATGTGCAAAATAAAGGATTTCTTGATTGAAGAATATAATTTCATTGTAGGCCTTAAAGATGGTTTAAATGCATATCAAATGGTTGAATCCAGGGGAAAAAAATTTATTTATATGATTTCTGGTGTGCATAGACAGCCTACTCAATGTGACTGAATGGTTAACACCCCAACCTAATATAGGGCTAAAATTCCTGATGACTAACAATATGAGCCAGGATCACATTGAGCTGTTTTGGGGGAAAAATTTGATCTATGGGTAGATGCAACACTAATCCCACAGCTCGGTAATTTTCAGTTGCCCATAAAGATATTGCTTTTGCACAATGAATTACAAGACATTTGGCAAGGTAATTGAATCCCTCTGCAATCTGTTCTCTTTTTGACAGTTTCTAGTAACCTTGAAAAAAAAACGGCAAAATTTATAGTATCAGTCATCGATGCAATTAATAATAGCTCAACTGAGTGCAGAGTTCTTGACGGCCAGAAGCTAAACCATCATTTGGGAGAAAAATATCAAGATGTTCAGGTTTTGTTGTATCCAAACTGAATAAGAAGCTTAACTGTGAAACCTATATCTCTGCTCTTACAGCACCAAAGCCTTTTTCAATTCATTCACTTGTCGTGCTTAAGAAAAGGGGGACTGAATTTTCCTTCACTAGATGTTGTTAAGATTTGTCAAATTTGTGAAAATATTTTCAGGAACAATGTCACTACTGTGACTTCTAACCCACATGGCAAAATAGTTTCCAACAATAAGCAGAAAATCGTTCAGTCTGTGTTAATTAGTCATTCAAATACAAATGTATTTCAGAGCTTCTTCCTCACATGGCTGACACAGACCATTAATCAATCATCTTTTTTATTGATCAAAGCAGTCTGTGAAAACAATACACGTTTAATCTACATAAACATAAAAAATATATAAAAGTCGTCAAACCTATAAGTTGGTTTTGATCAGTGGATTGTAGGTAATGTATGCAGAGTGCTTCTTATGTCATGAAAAGCAAGGTATGATCCTGTTATTTCATAAATTGTATAAAATTTCGTCTTTAATGTAAGGTGTCTCATTAAAAATAAAATTGTATTATTTGCCAGTTGTTCATGTTCTAGGTAATAAGTTCAATATTCAGGAGCGAACACAAACACCTGTATAGATTTTGTAGGTTCGATTTACTGGATAAGAGATATGTACACAGAGGGAGTAGTGCTCTCCGACCTGTCTGCTTGTCAACTGCTCTATAGACGACGTATGGCAAGTGATACATTAGCAGCTTCCATACGTCGCCAGGCACATTAATTAAGCATGTGGGACATGGTAATAACATTGCCACACGCTGCTAGCTAGGCTGAATAAATAATATATATAAATGGAGCACATACATCATATACATACATAATATATAATACAGCATACATAATACAGAATATACATACACCTCCCTCCCCCCTATACGCTCATAGCAAAGTCTTGAGCGGACCTTTTCTTTTGGATCCGTTCTGAGCGTCGAGGGACTAGATCACTGGGAAGGGTATGGGACTCAACACTGGTGGCGGGGTCAGCAGAAGGCATTGTTACGGGGCGGAGAAAACGGCGGTTCCTCCACCACACACGACCACTGGGTAACCGCACCTGGTAGTCCCGTGACCTACCGAGACCCATGACTACGCCTACTTTGTCCCAACGTAGGGAGGTCGGGTCCTGAACACGGACTTGGGTGCCGACACTCAACCTGGGGAGAGAACGGGCGTGGTCGTTGTAGCGGGCGACGACGTCCTGAACACGTTCGGCGGCTCGGCGATCACAATCCTCTGTCTTGGCCTGCCACTCCTTGGAGAAGGATTGAGGGTGAGCAGGGACACAAGAACGAAGGGGGCGTCCATACAAAACCTGGGCAGGGGAGCGTCCGGTGTAGTTAGGTGTGTTGCGGAGTTCAAGAAGACCCCGGTCGAAGGCCTCGCAGTCAATGTTCCCAGAAGGGGCCACCTTAAGGATGAGGTGCTTCAGGGATTTGACAGCAGCCTCAGCGTGGCCGTTGGACTGCGGGTAATGGGGCGATGACAACACATGCCGGACTCCCCATCGGTCGAGGAACACAGCAAAGTCCCGGCTTGTGAACTGAGGCCCTCCGTCGGTTCGCAGGCGCACAGGAACGCCCACGTCACGGAAGTAGTGGCGGAACTTGCTGATGGTGGCGGCAGACGTAGTGTCATTACCGCACTTGATGACAACCGGCCAACCAGAGAGACGGTCGACGATAACAAGGAAGAAATTTCCTGACACAGAGAAAAAGTCGGCTGACACAGACTCAAAGGGGCGGGTGGGGTTGTCGTCACTCATGAAGGGTTCCTGCTGCTGGCTGGGTTGTAGTACGTGGCGGGGCTTACACACCTGGACAGCGTTGGAGATGTCGGGGTCGATGCCAGGCCGGAACACAGTCTGTCGTGCACGTCGTTTGGTGGCCTCGGCTCCACAGTGACTGTCGTGGAGGCGAGCCACGGCGTG